GAGAGGAGAGGAGAGGAGAGGAGAGGAGAGGAGAGGAGAGGAGAGGAGAGGAGAGGAGAGGAGAGGAGAGGAGAGGAGAGGAGATTCTGTTCCCATTTCACATAACCAAGATTGTGCATAGTGCGAAAAGGCTAAAAAGGATGTGGTTTGGCAGTACAGGGTGCTAGGAAGAGATTGCATCTAGAGATTCCTGCACCTCCTGTGACCTTCCTACCTTTTGTTTGATTCTTCTCTGAATATTGTGAAATGTCACTGTCTAGCTCTTATTGTAGTTTCCATTAAAGAAAGTCAAAGTACTTTATGAAGTCAATGTTACTGTGCCCATTAATGTATAGAGAACAATGGATTTGCAAAAGCAGGTTTTTTACCAGTAAAAATCTTTAATTTAAGAAAAGTAAAGATCCATTTGAAAATCTTAGTGGTGAATAGATCTATTGTGTTTAAAATATCTGCTCCTACCCTAATTCACACACTTCCCATAGCTTCCTTAGGGCTGGCACAAGTTTTCTTTCAGATGAGTCCTGCTCAGGAAAAGCTACATCAGACTGCCCACACTAAAATAAAAAAGACATTTTCAGCATTTCCTTCACAGATGATAGATTGATCTGGGCAAATTAGCACATTGCTGGAATACCCCTGAATGTAGTAGTTCCCTTCATTAACTGCAAGCACTGTAGCTGTGCGTCTTCCCACAAGAAGCATCCAAGAAACAAAAATACAGCAAAGTTAATTCTTTCTTCTCTAAGATGATTCTTTCATTGCCCTCCCTGGACCCGTACCCAATTTACAAAGCTTCAAGAGAGAAAGAGCACAGACATCATCCAAAGCAAGTGGAGGATCTGCACCTCTGCAGAGCCCCAATGCAAAACTAAAAATAAAACAGCAGTGCTCCAAACACATGAAAAAACTTCAGAAGTGTTTTACAGGACCTGAAGGTGAACGGTACTGTTCCCAATGCCTCAGTGATAGCTTTATTCTCAGAGGCTCCCTGACCTCAGAGGCTGTCCTGTCTAGCAATGGGGATGAAGAAGCAAGATGCTTCTGAAGAACAGTTTAGACATCCATCTCTCTTGGGTTTTGGGGTATCAAACTGTTGTTCCTGCACAGATATGTAGGTAGATGAGCCTTGCTAAGTTCCTGGGGAAGTCCTCAGAGACTCGCAGAAAGCACTAGACCACCAAGACCATGTTGCTCCCTTCTCATGTGGCTGAGCCTACTCCTGGGAGACAAATCTGTGCTGAGGTCCATAGTCTGAGCTCAACATGTTCTTTGCAGGACCAGTCTTGGAGAACTGTCTCTTTCCAACTTAGAAACTCTTCATTTGCCTTCTGCTCTAGCAGACCACCTTTTTTTTTTCCTACTACTCTAGCAGCTTGATTTATGGTCCCAGGAGTGCAACGGAAAGGAGGAAGATGGACTTAATTCACACGTGCAAGGGTAAGGTCAGATGCCAAGGCTACCACAGGGACAAACTAGCTTTTCTAGCCCCAGCTCCTTTGCACAGATGTTGGGGCACAGATAAGCAGCAGATCACACAGGAGTTCTCAGGACTGGAAAAGCCTGGAGACCTCATGAACAGCGTGCTCAACATATGGCACAGCTTGAGTGGGAGAGAGGCTGGGAGTCTCCACGTGAACCTTGCAGCCATATATGGGGTTTGATGGGTGTAGGAATCAAGTATGAAGCTTGTGGGGTGTGGGATCAGAGCCACGTGGTTGTGACACATAGCATATCACAGCTATGCCATATTAGAAAAATAGGTTAAGAATGGGAAAAAACAAGATGGCCAAAATGTTTTATTTGCTTTGACACCCAACCAGATTAACTTGTTTCCAAAAAACAGATTAAAAGTGAAATATAGCTGAGGCGTGCTGCAAGAAATCTGGAGTTCCATCATCTCCTCTCCTCATTATTTATTACTTACTCAAGAACTACTGTAAAACTCTGATCTTGGCATTTAAAATACCTTGTGCTTAGCGTTAGGAGTGGAGAGAGGTTTATATGCAAGATATAAAAACTAAATTAAGAAACAGCAAAGTGACAGAATCAAAGAAACTAGGAATAAAAATTAGTTAAGAAACTAATGCACTGAAAGAGATCTGCAGAGCAAACGCAAGACACCAAGAAAGGAAAACCTCTACTTCATTATAGTGTCAGCACTGTCGTTACAAACCTTTATTTTTAGAGTTCCTTCTTTTCAGTTCTTGCACAGAACTGCCTGCAGACAAAGCAAACATTTCTAGGTTTCTGGGCTTGATCCTGTCTCTTTTAAAGTCATTTTCACCAGAGCAAGAGCTAACCCAAGATCTGTGCACACAAGAAACCCAAATACTTTCTGGCATTCGTTTCTGTGCTAACTTGTGCCAGAGTTGTATATGCAGAATAGAAATGTCCTCATTTACAGCCTGGCCCATAGCTCCTTGGCTGTGGGAACACTTCCTCAGTTTGCCTAGCTAGCACATGACTCAAGTAGGTGCACATACACATTTCACACGCATATTTCTTTCATGTAGGCACAAGTAGGTTCCTGCTTTGTAACACTGAATCCACAAAGTGTTTGCTGGCAAACAGCTATGCATTCATTTTATTTTTACATGCTGTGATGTGTGCAAAAACCTGGATAGCTTCAAACAAGGAGAAGATAAACAATGCTTTCATAGTTTCAAAAATAATGCACAATGCAGCCTCCAGATTATGAAGATCTTCAGGCATTCTTGACATCTCCAGTACCCTGCCAGCAACAGTGAGCAATGACTCCTGAATGCTGACTTTAAAGCCAATAGATTCTCTCAGTGCTGAGGATAGGGTGAATTCCCCAAAGGGATTAAGCAGGTTTTCAGACCCCCACCAGCAATGCCTTTTGCAGTGTATCATAGAGTCATAAAATCAGAAAAATGGCTTATGTTGGAAGGAACCTTAAATATCATCTAGTTCAATCCTCCTGCCATGGGCAGGGTTGCCCAGGAGCCTGGCCTTGAATGCCTCCAGAGATGGTATGACACCAGCCAAGTGAAAGACGTCCCCCCCATGAGATGGGGACACTGCACCAAGGCTGGAGCCTGTTCTGCTGCATCCCAGCATGCTTATGCATAGGAGGGGCTGCAATGGAGGAATGCATAGGGTTAGTCCAGGCATGTTCCTCACACTTACTTAAACTTGGCTGCTGCGATGTTTAGAATCACTGGAGGAAATGGACTCCCTTCCAGCTCTCATTACTAGTCAGGTTTCCAGCACTGGACTTCCAACACTGGACTTCCTTCCCATCCAGATCCATCTGCTGAGCTGGTTGGTGTCAGGGCAACAAGATGGGAATGTCATTATCCAGACCTAATTTGGCCTAACCTCTGTCATCTGACATGTTCAAGGATCACAACCCTGTTTCCAATCTAAAGGAATTTGAGATGAGCTCGCTTTGAGTGATTGCTGCTACACTGGCAATGGAAAATGAAGAACTGCAGTTGTAGATGGATTTGAGTATCTCTCCAAAGTTCTTGGATTATTACCTCTACTATAGAGTAGCACAGATAGTCCCAACTATAGAAATAATCTCCATGTCTTCACCTTCTCTGCCTGGCAGCTGCATTCCTTGCACTGCTGTCTGATCAGTGAGCCTGTATACGTGGTCTTGCAGTGTTTTTGCTGTCAGAAGGCCAATTTATTTACATAAGATGTGAATGCTGACCTCTGCCTGAAAAAAGGAGGAGAAAACATTAAGTTCAGGCAGACACCAGCATGTCCCTCTGCTGAAAGCTGAGCCTGAAGAACATGCTTAGCACCACACTCACAACCATTTTGGTGTTGCTTTTCCTGTATTTTTTCTTCCTGAATGCAAGCATGGACTAGACCACAAGCCCATTCCCCTTGCTTGAGCACACAACTGCACCACACACTGTGACTGCAAGGTGGGCATTCACAGGTTATGTCAGACATTTGGTCATTGGGGGAAGTTGAAATTGACAGCCTGGACTCATCCATGCCCTGAAAACTACTAGAGGCTACAGTTGGGCTTACACTAACAGGTTTCTCTCTCTACAAACCTGCATTCAACAGCTGCACACCTGATCAAATACTGTTCCTGTTATTCTGTGTTCCTGGTCCTGCTGCATGATCCTGTATTCCAGGAGCCATTCTTGCAGGTGTGTAATGTCAGCTGGGGTGCCAAGAGAGAAGTCTCAGGGCATCTTTTCTTCCTCCTAGCTTAGTTCACAGCCAGAAAGTGTTCTTGGGGCTCAAAAAGACTTGGATACACCAGGACAACTTGGAGCCTGCGCATCTCAGGAGAGAGAAGCAATACATCAGCTACCAATCCGGCTGCCCCAAGGCTGGGAGAGAACCTGGGGACTGTCTGCCTTGGGCATGTACCTTAGCATCCTATACACTATCTCCTAGCTTTTCTTTCCAAGATTCAAATGGCATGTGTGTTCTCTTTCAGCTCGAAGGTGGACAAGGAGAAAGAGCTAATGAACACCGCCATAAAGCCTCTTTGATATCAGGGACGCATGCATAGGAGGCTAGCCCTGGAAAATTATACTATTTACTTCTGCTGGAATGGGAAATGAAAACAGTTGATGCTGGCAGGGCTCTCAGCCACAGACAAGCATTTGTCAGTATGCAGGAACCCCCCAGGACAACCAGACACCCTCAGAAAGCAGAGTGAAGCACACAGTGTGCTGAAAAACATTGGTGAGGTGCTAAACATTTCCCTTCCCTTCTGTATTATCTTCTTATAACAGGACAAAAAACCTATTAGACTCTTCTGCTTATGGTAGATTTTATGAAATTACTTAAAAAATACTTTTTGACACATTTCTATTAGTAGCAGCCCCGGTTCTTTAGTAATTCATAAAGGAAATATATGAAAAAAATGGCTTAGAGCTAATCCCTTGGGAAACAGAAGTGCCTGATTTGATAGCTTGGCCTGGTCACTGGACAAAGAAACCCAAAAGGACTCTGTACCTAAGTTAGGTAGCAAGGCAAAAAGCGTGTGCCCAGTCTGCTCTGGATGCTCTGTTCAGGTTCAGCAGGACATGTTTCTTCTCACTCTGGATTCACAGCTCTGTAAACTTAATTATAGTTTCTCACCTTGCGTTAATTAACATGAGAAGTGAAGACACCTCTCCTCACGCTGCTCTTACTCCGCCCACCCCCTATCCTCGGATAACCCAGCCCCTGGAGGTTAGCTCTCCCTGGGTGCAGTTTTGCATTCCTATGGGGAGGAGGCACCTGGGCAGCCTGGGTGAGGCTGCTCATGAGGGCTGAGGTCTCTGTCTGCTGCCTGTTGGAGGGAAGGGAATGCATTTCGTGTAACCTCTTTCCCCCTTGAAGGAGTGCTCCTGTGTAGAATCATAGAATCATTATGGTTAGAAAAGATCACTAAAATGATCTAGGCCAACTACCAACCCATCACCACCATGCATACTAAACCATGTCCCTCAGTGCCACATTTCTTCAACACCTTCAGGAAAAGTGACTCCAGCATCTCCCTGGGCGACCTGTGCCAATGCCTCAGCACTCCTCCCGAGAAGAAATTTTTCTGAATATTCAATCTGAACGTCTCTTTGTGCAACTTGAGGCCATTACCTCTCTCTCTTGGCATATGCCAAGTGCTCCTGAATTGCTGTAGTTTTCAGCCCAGCTGATGAAGATCTGGAGCCAGCCTGGATGGAGGGGAAACTGAGGTGGTCTTGGTGGCTGCAGAGTGCCTTGCTTCAGAGCAGCGAACCCAGGTGGTTGATGACGCCTCAAAACTGCTAGGGTGACATTTCTGGTTCTCCTTTACACCTGAGCTGGGGACTCAGGCTCCTCATCAGGCACCACACTGCATCCTAGGAGGAGGGAGAGCATGGGAAAGACTGCAGAATGGGACACGTGCACTTCACGGGGCTTAAAACTTAGTAAACAAAGGACAAAGTTTAAAAATTTGCTAAAGGGTTCATGAAAATCATTTACCATCTTCATTCTCTAAAGCAGTGAAGCAAGTTTGATTGCACAACTAAAGTAGTCTCTGTACCAACTGTTTGTGTTAATCCGTTTATTTATGAGAAGCATCTGAGAAAAACAAACTTGTATTGTTTGCCAAAGCTTCCCTGCCGACAGCACTATACCCTCCTCTCTCCCACTGTTTTCTTTCCCCTCACTACTACACAAGAGAGAGGCAAAAGACGGAGAGGTGGGAGGGCTGACACCACTGCTCTCAGCGGATTCCTTCGGTGGTAAACGCGCTTAAGTCGAAGAGCTCACGAGCACAAAGTCATACGATAACGCACGCTTCTGTTCCTCACAAGCCGGGAGCCACCGCCCCGCGCTCGGCAGCTTTCAGCCCAAATCGCGCCTTCGGACGGCGACAGCGGGACGCGGAGAATCTGCCGCTCGCCCTGCGCTGCCCATCCGGCGGAGCCAGGAGCACGGAGCACCTACCCCCTCCTCCCGGACCCCCAGCCGCACACTCGCCCGCACGGAGGCGCGCAGCCGCTCCGCGGGCGGTGCCGCCAGGTGCGCCCGCCCAGGCACGGCCCCGGGGGGGCGGCCGCGGCGCCTCGCCCCACCCCGCCGCGCCGGGAGCTCACCGCCCCCGGCTGAAGTCCGGTGCCGCCGCGCCGATCCGAGACGTGCCGTGCCGGTGGTGCCGTCACTCGGCGCTTCCAGCATGCTCCTAAGATGGCGGTAGCAGCGGCGGGCGGCGGCGGCGGGGGCGGCCGGGCGCAGCGCAGCGGCTGGCTGGAAGTTTTGGTACGGGAGCGCTGGCACAAAGTGCTGGCCAACTTGGGCGGCGAGGCGCTGGTGCTGAGCGGAGAGGAGCGGCCCGACGGCGCGGCCCACAACGGGCTGGGAGGCGATGGGGTGGCGTGCCGCGGGGCCGAGGGCGGCGGCGGGGGCTCGGCGGTGCGCACCGCCTTTACCGACCCCCCCGAGCAGGTGCCCGAGGCCGTCTCCAACAAGAAGCGCTGCGTGAAGGTGCTGAAGCAGGAGCTGGGCGGGCTGGGCATCAGCATTAAGGGAGGCAAGGAGAACAAGATGCCCATCCTCATCAGCAAGATCTTCAAGGGGCTGGCGGCCGACCAGACCCAGGCCCTCTACGTGGGCGATGCCATCCTGGCCGTCAACGGCACTGACCTGCGGGATGCCACCCACGACGAGGCGGTGCAGGCGCTCAAGCGGGCCGGCAAGGAGGTGCTGCTGGAAGGTACGGGGCTGCCGGCGGAGGGGGATGCGGGACGCCTCCGTGCGCCTCGCTCCGGGCGCCCTCCCGGTAGGGAGCCCCGACGGCGCGGGGACGGAGCCCCACGGATGGCACCGCGCTGTTGACGGGGCTCCGCGGTTTGGTCGCACATCGGACGGTGGAGCCCCGGCTCTGGCCGCGATGCGGAGCCCTTTCTGGGGTCGGCGGCTGAGCCGGGCCTCGGCGTGGGGAGTGGGCTCAGAGGAAGTTGGTAGTGCCTCTTAACTCATAAACCATCTCCGCAAATGTTTCGTTTCTGGGAGTGGATGAGTTTGGTAAGAAGCAGCTTTAGAAACTGAGTCTGGAGTATGGTGCTCAGTGTTGTATGGGAGTTGTCTGTGAAACGAGACAACTGTTGGCGAAGGCTGAGCAGAGGCAGAATCACTCCCTGGGACACCGTGCTTATAAGGAGAGAGGTGTTCATGGACGTGCAGTCTTTGTGTTCTCTCTGGGATTTGTGTGACTGCTGGACCTGAGAGAATGAACAGCTTCAGCAGTGCCCTTGGTGCATGTTTGATAAAGTGATTGCACATTAGCCCAGAAGTTCACTTAACCACAGGTCATTGGCATTTTTTGTGTGCTACTGTGCCATCCCCGTGCCTTCCTTCAAGCCCTGGTGCCCTTACATCGGTGTCTTAAGAACACTGTAGGTACCCTTTGAGCACAGTTCACATGTCTCTTCTCTGTAATAAGAAGCAGAGGAAGTTCTGCTGCCAGTTCAGGGATACGCAGGAGCATCAGCTGCAAACAACCGACTGTGGCACAAAGTTATGGGAAAAGCCTTAAGAAGTGGTTCTGTGCAGTAAAGGTGGGGAAGGTGAGAAAATTTAATCTGTGGTTGTGGCTGCTGAGAAACTGCTCAGTGCCATCCACACTGCAGTGAAACCCGTGGGGAGATTGCTGCAAGGCTTTAAGAAGCAGAGGGCCACCGTGTGCCCTGTGCTCCTATGACCAAACCGCGTTTCCTCCCCACTAAATGCATGCAAAGATTCCTGTGAAGTCCTAATGTAAACTCGCCGAGGTCTGAATGGAGTGGTGACGTCGGAATTGTGCCACTGGTTTGTTTGCACAGTGCGGGGCTCCCGGGGTGTAGCAGCAGCTGACCTGCGGTAGGATCGTACGATCTAACGAGGCGCGCACAGCACGCTGCCTGTGGAAACAGCACCTGGCTGCTGCAGAAGCCTGCTAAAAAAACTCGTTGTTTCTGGTAGGAGCACACTTGAAGCTGTTTGAGCAGGGACTCCTTCTCTCTGCTCCATTGGCCACTGCAGCTGTTTTCTTGCCATTTCTTTGCCCCATGGAGGTGTAGGCTAATGTGCTTCAGTGGGTATTCCCGCAATGGAATTTGTAAGTTGTAAATTGAGAGTCTCTTTCAGTAGTCCTCCCTTTAGATGTTTAAAATACTCCAACACTGAAAGCAGTACTTGTCTTGGTTTTCTTCTGTTGTTTTAGCACAGTATCCAAAGGCAGGATTGTCCCCCGTCGTGTCCCCTGGAGGTGCTGCTCTGTGCAGCTGGAGTTAGACTCAGTGATCCATGGGGGTCCCGTCCAACTTGGGATTCTGTGAACTTCTGCCTGAGTGACTTGTGTAAACCAGCATTTTGGAACAATTCCCCAAGATTCAATTTCCCACTTAGAGACTTTTTCCGGTAGCACAGTCTAAAATGGTCTTTTTACTACAAAGGGAAGGAATAGCCAGAAGATTTTTTTTCCTCTTTGAAGTACAGAAGGGGAAGAGCATTGCTTTTCCTTACCTCCCAGACAAGAGGAATGTGCTGCTTCCTGGCTTCTTGGAAAGCTGTGCATTAGAAGGGACAACTCTGAGCTGGGGCCGAGATGAATCCCTACACAGTTCCTCTCTGGACTGTTGCTCTGGTTAGCAGGGCACTACCACTGTATGATACCAACACATAAAATGCACATTTTCAAGGAGATTCAGAGGCTTGTGCCTTGCCGAGTAGAAAAGCTGAATTTGGCTCTTAAGTAATTCAAAAGGCATGGCAAGGTGCTAAGCACGGGGGATGGATCTCGGAGTGCAAGGGGGAGGCTGTGGTGTTACTCCAGGTGTTGCGAGCTCCAGGAAAGGGTTTCTGGGTTGTGTGCGTGCCAAAGTGGTCAGTTCAGAGGCTGTGGTCAGCGTGGCTCAGTGCACCCGATGTCACGGCTTTGCGTCCTTCTAAAACTGCTTGCTCAGTGAAACGAGGCATTTACCAGCTCAGCACTAAACTGTCCTCTCTCGCATTCCTGTGGGGGAGACGGGAGCAGAAATCCCTCAGCAGTCCCTTGGGGGAGAGGCAGGGCTGGCACTGGGGTAGGTGACAGGGTGGTGTGTGGTGATAATATGCGTGTCCTTTTCGCTGCATCGATCCTTCTTACAGTAGGAGGAAGGCAGGTAGGACTTGGTAAGTGGAAGAGAAATAATGCACTGCCATAGGAGGAGCTGTGAGGCAGAAAGTTCAGGAGGTGGCGGATGAGGATGAAGTTCTGATCTAAGAAACTCTGCTTTCCCCTCATCTGCAGGGATGGACCTCTTCTTTCCCCAGGGTTTAATTTCCTGCTGGCCTCCCAGCACAGCCCAGGTGCAGAGAAGGGATAGGGCAGCTCACACAGCCCCAGCTGTGATTTTGGATGTTCAGTCCGTGAGAGATGTATGTAGCATTCAGGAGCATAAAGAATTTTTCTACATGAGAGACCAGGCAGCCTTCTTGTATGCTGGATGTTGTTTGCAGGCATGGAAGGCAGCTTAAATTATCACAGCAACTTCTGTTTAAACATATGATTTCCCTACGGTTCTGTTAAATTGGGTCTTCTTAAATAAGCACTTTGGAAAATCAAGCATCCCCTCTTATGTTGTACGAAGCTTGTTTCACTCAAGTGATTCTCAAATGCAAAAGGTGTTTTTTTAAATCAAAGCATCCTAGTTGAGAGCAGTCCCTTGGCATGCTTGGGAACCAAGCAGGTTGTGCTTTACTTAAATTCTCAATCTGTTTTGTGAAAAAAAATTATAAATCAATATAACCTGTGCTAATGTCAGATGGGATCCCCATGGCCTTCATGATGTATTTGGATGTGGAGTAAAAAAAAAAAGATGTGTTTTTTTGCTAGGTGGTTTCAGGATGTATTTTGTAGATGGTGTTACTTCCTAACTCATTGAAAGTATGCAAACATGGTTTTGATGGTGGTGGTGGCAGGTATGCAGCAGGAGAAGGAGAATCTTACTGATGTTGCAGAGCTTTTCACTAGTTTTAAGCAATTCTCAATTAAACAAATATAATTGCAAGGTAGTGGCTACAGTTCCCTTGAGATGAGGCTCTTGCAGTCTCTATTGGTTTGCAGAAATTTCCCACAGAGCCACAGCCACCAGCATATGGGCAGTAGACCATAGTTACCTTTTACAGCCCTTTGGGAGGTAATCCACAGCTTTAAGGCAGAACAGGCATGGTATGCTCTGCGTTGCAGTGACACATGCTGTTTTCCAAGCAGTATTTCTGTAAGAATTGTAGCAGTTCTCCCTTCGGAAATGTTTTGTGGTTGAAATGAAGCGATTCCAATAGCCTAAATGACTTGTGTGTTGACACAGTGCAAAATAGGCATGGGCAGCATGTTAGCTGTGTTTGTCTACTTTATCTATAATTTCATGTTTCTTTCATGAAAATCTCCTGGTAGCAGGAGATTTAGGGGAGTTAAAGTACATTATTTATCCAAGAAAATGTGTCCCTTGCAAGTACAGAGGGAAAATGAGACGCAGGGCACTTAGGAAATGCCCACCTCACACAGCTGCTCACTGCAATCAGGGCTGTAAATCTCAATGACTGCAAATCATATGCATAGTTACTTCTTGCAGTTCCAGTAAATGTATGGAGAAAACTTTGTTTTTTTTGATGTTGTTATTCCAGCAAAGATGCAGTTAGGGAAGTGCTTTGTACTTAGAGGTCATATCATGTTTCATAGACCAGTGAAATTGAAAGGTGAAGGAGGAGGTAATCTCATTCTCAACAACAGCAAGTCTGAGCCGTCTCTGCAAATCTCAGTTTGGATTGCCTCGGCTGCCTACAGCTGATGGGGAAGCTTGAGTGGGAGCACTTGATTTGTCTTCCATTGATTAGATTAGATTACAAGCTAATTTAGCAGTCCAGACAGTCTGTATCACCTTTCACAGATAAGAATCAGTACATCCTCTTTGCAGTAAATCTGCTTTAAGTCCTCTTTCTCAGTTACTGTAAAGAAAATAAGGCAGCTGTGGATTTATTTGGGCTGGGGGCAAGGTTCTCCCTGCACTCTGCATCTTGGGAATCAGTCTTTTTAGAGCTTAGTACTGTTTCCTCTAAGGATGCTTAGAAGATTAAATACGTCTGGGGATTCGAGATTCAATTGCACATACAGAGCCCAGGTACCCGTTAAGCATCGCAAGGAAAGAA